CTATGACATATCTTTGTTTGTGCTTTTAACATAGACATCACATTCGTTTATCTTAAAACCATCCGAAAGCATAGCGTGATCAAATTTTTCATGCCATTGTTTCAGAGCTTGTTTTAATCCATAAAGGGATTTGACAAATTTACAAACCTTTTTCTCTAGGCCGGGAACTTGAAACCCTTCTGGTTGTTCCATATAGATTTCCTCATCTAACTCGCCATTCAAAAAAGTTGTTTTAACATCCATTTGATGTATTTCTAGATTATACAAAGCTGCAATCGCAATCAACATGCGAATAGATGTTATTCTTGTCAATGGTGAATAGGTGTCAAAATAATCAAGGCCTTCCTTCAGCCTGCATCCCTTAACAACAAACCTAGCCTTGTATTTCTCTATTGAGTCATCTGCTTTCATTTTTCTCGTGAATATCCACTTATATCCAAGAGGTTTACATCTTGGTGGAAGATCCATTAGTTCCCAAGTATGATTTTGCAATATTGATTCAATTTCACTATTCATAACCTCTCTCCACAATGGAGCTTCAGGACTTGACATTGCTTCCTTAAAGTTTTGAGGCTCATTTTCTAACAGGTATGTTAGAAAATCTAGACCAAATGATTTAGAGATCCTAACCCTCTTGCTACGTCTAGGTTCATCAGATTCATTATCATTGTGGTCTTTACTGCTACCCATAGCAGTATCAAAAGTTCTTTTATTTGAACTTTTCTTTTCAATTTCCTTACTAGGAAAAATGTGTTCAAAAAATGATGCATTTCTTGACTCAATAATAGTGTTTACATGCATATCCGAATTTTCAGATCTAAGAACTAAAAATCTATATGCACTACTATTATTGGCATATCCAATGAACACACAATCAACGGTCTTTGGTCCTATCTTAGTCGCTTTGGGACTAGGGACTGCCACCTTGGCCAAACACCCCCACACTTTGAGGTAATTATAAGTAGGTCGTCGACCTTTCCATAATTCATAAGGTGTTTGATTGAGTTTCTTGTGGGGTACCCTATTAAGGATAAAGTTAGCAAACAAAATCGCCTCCCCCCACAAGTTTTGAGGTAATCCTGAACTAATTAACATGGTATTCATCATCTCTTTAAGAGTTTGATTCTTTCTCTCAGCAACTCCATTTGACTGAGAAGAATAGGGTGCAGTGGTTTGGTGAATGATACCATGTTCTGAACAAAATTCTTCAAATGGTGCATCATACTCACCACCTCTGTTACTCCTCACTATCTTAATAGTTTTGCCAAGTTGATTTTCAACCTGAAGTTTATATTGCCTAAAAGCTTCTACGGCTTCATCTTTACTACTCAATAAATAAACATAGCACTATCGAGTGCAATCATCAATAAAAGTAATAAAGTATTTCTTACCTCCTCTAGTTTGAACAAATTTTAAATCACAGATATCCGTGTGAATTAAACTTAGAGGTTCAGCACTTCTTTTAACTTTAGTAAATGATGCCTTAGTGAGTTTTGCCTCAACACAAATCTCACATTTATGATTAGGATCAAATTTTAAATTTGGTAAACATTCTAAAGCAACAAATCCACGTAAAGAATTAAAATTAACATGTCCTAATCTACCATGCCATAAAAAAAAAGACTCGGCAATATAAACAGAAGATGTGTTCTTATTATTAAAAGCCAAATTAGGTACAACTGTTATTACATTGAGCTTAAAAAATCCATCACTCATGTAACCTCGCCCCACATACATTTCACTCTTGGAGAGTACAACTTTATCAGATTCAAAGACTAATTTAAACCCATTCTTGATCAAAACTGACGCAGAAATCAAGTTCTTGCAAATCTCTGGCAGATGGAGTACATTGTTAAGAGTGAGTTCTTTCCCCGAGGTCATTTTCAGCACAATCTTTCCTTGTCCTTCTATAGTTGAAGTAGAGGAGTTTCCCATAAAAAATTGTTCCCCACTTTCCACCACTTTGTAGGTTGTGAACATCTTCTTATCTGCACAGATATAGCGGGTTGCTCTAGTATCCACCCACCATTCCTTGGGATTGCCCACCAAGTTTGCTTCAGAGACTACTGCAGCAAGATTGATGTCTGCCACTCCATCGAAAAGATAAAAATTCTCGGCTATGTTGGCTTGTGCTGGCTTTTTGCTTGAACTCCCTCTATCCTTGCAAACTTGACAATCCTTAGCGCGATGCCCATCTTTGCCGCACACAAAACACTTGCCTTTGAACCTCTTGTTGAACCCATTGTTGATCCCTTTGTTGATCTTACTAGTGGATCCTTGTTTGGGACCATTGCCATCATGCTTCCGCTTGTTGCTATTGAACTTTGACCCATGTTCATGTTCCACAACATTTGCTTTAGCCTACATGACATGGTTTCCTGACTTTTTTTCGGAACCTCGGTTGTCCTCCTCAATTCAGAGCCGCACTATAAATTCTTCCAATTTCATCTCCTTGCACTTGTACTTCAGATAATTCTTGAATTCTTTCTAAGATTGTGGCAATTTTTCAATGATTTTCGCTACTTGGAAAGATTCACTGGGAACCATCCCTTCCACATGTACGTCATGAAGAATTAATTGGAGATTTTGAACTTAGCTAATAACCGTTTTGGAATCCATCATTTTAAAATCCAGAAAATGGCCGACAACAAATTTCTTTGTACCGGCGTCCTCTGTCTTATACTTATGATCTAGAGATTCCCATAGTTCTTTAGCAGTGCTTTTAACACTATACACATTATACAGTGTATTTTCCAACCCATTAAGGATATAGTTTCGACACAGAAAATCACCATGTTTCCATGCATCGACTGCGACAACCACTTGCCGGTCAGTTTCTCCCTCGTTCAGTGTCGGTGCCTTTTTATGAGTAAAGCGAGCCAAATTCAATGTGGTGAGATAAAACATCATCTTTTATTGCCATCTTTTAAAATCATTACCATTGAATTTTTCTGGCTTCTCCCCATGATTTACTGGTACTGCCGAAGTCATCACTGACACAATAGGTGTGGGGGTTTGAGTAATAACAGTCTCAGTACTATTAATTTCAGTTGTCATAATACTGACAAAATATAAATTGTACCAATCACAAATTTATACACAAAAGAAAATACATACAAAATATACAGAAAAAATATTTTGTAACAAAATTCCAATGATAAACAATATATTACTACTATGTTATCAAAGAAATCATTAAACAGTATATTACTACTATTTAAGAAATTAAACGGTATATTTGTCTGTCTGTCGCAAAAATAAATATAAATAGAATTCTACTTTAAGATTGTTTGAACCCACAAAGGTATATGTGTGTAAATTAAATCTATAAATTAAATATACAATAAAATAAAATAATTCAGAAAATAAATAAATTATTTTCCGAATTAAATGCTTACAGAGAATAATGTCGAGGCTTGTGTTGGACACAATCTCCTTAAAGTAGATTTCACCATCGCTTCGGTGCTTCGAGTTTTACCGGCGTCTACTTCCCAAGATGCAACGACTAACACTTAAATTTGCAGCACTACAAATTTAAGTCTGGCGAACCAAAACTCTATTGTAAACTCTCTATTTTTCTTTCTAAAAATAAATACAGAAACTGATGTAAGAGCACAGGAAGAACAGGAAAAGAAGGACGAAAATCTAAGGGAAAAATTCAATGAAAAGAATTGCTGGAAGCATGCTTTATATAGGCAAAAAGGTGGTTGTTCCGAACAGGTGCCAACAGATAGGCAACTGTTTGGACAGATAGACAATCTGTTTGGACAGATTCGGTTGGAATACAACAGGTAGAAACCTGTTTGAACCTTTTGAACCAGTTTGGGTGGTATGGACCTATAAGGGACTTGAAATTCTGGACCAATGTAATTTTGATTTTTCAAACCAAAAATAAAAATAAAGTTCAAATGTTTTTGGCCCAAAAAGATAAGTATTGGGTTGGACAAGCCCAACCCGACCTCACATCACACGCCTAGATAAACTGTAGGGTGTGTGTGGTTTTAATTTTGGGTCTAATGGGTTTAACCCACTACACCCATAACCTCACCCTTCCACAAACTTGGGTACCCCTTAGGGCCCATCCCAAGTATCCAAGGCTAAAGTTTATAAATCCAAACAATTCCTCAAACCTTTCCAATGTGGGACAAGCACATTTCACAAATATGTAATAAACCCACCTAAATCCAATTCCACAAACCCGAAAATGCACATTGAATTCTCATTCATCCGGAAATGGTTTTGAGCAACCAAATACATAAATTGATTCACTACGCGGCATTAAACATGAACCCAATTAAAAACGTTAAAAGTAACGCTTGGGTCCCACCTTAATTAATGTTCAAAGTTAGCAAAAAAATAAGGATTTTTCAAAGTTATTTTCCAACAAAATTTTGTTCTATGAAAAATTGAGATTGCAGTAGATAATCTTTGGACTGCTGCAACGGTTGTAGAGAGATTGGGAATGACAAAAAAAATTGATGATGATTCTCTTTTACTTTCCTTTTACTTTACTAGCCCTGTCGAGTATATCTCAAGTAGACTTTTCCTCCACTTTGTTGCTTACTTTACTGGAATCTGAAATGTTCATCTGTGTGTGTTTTTAGTATATAACCGACAAGATCCATCACTATTTTGGGTTCTCTCTGTTTTTTCTCCTTTATTTCTGATTGTCAGTACTGAGAGAGCAAGAGAGGGCATGTGGGGAAAAGAATACATTTTTTCTTTGTTATCTAATTCTTTGTGGTGCAAGTGATTTGGGGTACTTCTTCAACTGATCAGTGTTTCATTTACTCACCTGCAAATTGTTTGTTGTGAGTTCCCTGACACATGATGTTATTTGTTTCTTCAGTTTACTGGTAATTTTTGCACATTAAGTCATAAATTTGTCAAAGGCACATCAATCTGGGAAAATTCATTTGATATTGTTTGGTGGGTTGTTGTCTTTTTGTAATTGTGGCATGTGATATTGAAAATTAGGCTACTCATATTCATATGTAATGTCATTGATGTGATTCCTTCACAGACTCAACATACTCAATACTACCGTTCTTGCTGTCAGAATCAGCCTCATGCTTCAACTCCCAATCAATTTGAGCATTGTTCTCCTTCATCGCCACTTCCTCTGTACTGTCTCCATTGCTGTTAACTCCTACCATGGATTCATTCTCGGTGACCATTGATCTAACAGATGAAATGTCCTCTCTCTGCTCCATCCCCTCCTCTTCTCCCTCAGTAAATCGATGCTGGTGGTTATGGTGGTCCTGTGATGCAGGAGAGTTAGCCTCTCCTCCATCACTCTCTTTCTCATCATGGACTTTCAGATCTTCATCTCCTAACATAGTATGATTGATTCACAATAATTCAAGACAAAATTGAGTAAAACAAGACACAGCAAGTAAAAAACTCCCAGAATTCTCAATTATAAACTAAGAAAGGATGATTAAGAGAAAGATGGGTGTGCATGCATTGACTGATTGGGTTTGTGGCAAAAAGTGATAAGCTTGGTACCTTTAAATAAATCCAACAAAATAAAAGACAAATTAACACATACCCATCATACTATTTTCACACAAACACACGTATTGATAATTAGAAAACATACATATACTAATAAGGAACACCCAAAAAGTGATCTGAGCCAGAAACACTCATATAAACAATTACATACACTTTCTTTTTCTTTTTTTTTTTTACAAATATTATAAACCATGGATTAAAAGTAGAGAATATATAATTGAGAAACAGATGGTCGAGTACTTGTAAGAGTAATTTAAATCAAGCCAACCAAGAAACATTAACTTACTAGCCTACCCAACCCACGAAGCCAATTTAACAAGACCAAGCCAATTTCACACGAATATGAATACTTAAAGATATGACAGATAAGATTGTGGGTGTGATTGAGAGATGGGTAACATAGGGAAGGCCAAAGAGGGTTACCATGAGAGTGAGTTGTGGAGTTGTTGGCGCCCTTTTCCTTCTTTTTCTTTGCAGCTTTTCTCTTCTTTGAACCTGATGGCATGATTGGATCTGCTGAGAGAAATGGGTATGTAGATCCTGGATTCTCTCTCTCTCTCTCTCTCTCTCTCTCTCTCTCTCGTCTCTCTTTCTACTTGTTTGGATTTTGCATTTGTATTTCAAACGCAAAGGGTGGGGACTGCAAGATATGGGTGTGGTGTGGTGTAAATATTTTTCATTAAATAGAATCTCTCTATCTCTCTCTCGAGTCCATAAATGGTCAAGTTTTGTTCTATTTATTTTATTTTTTTAAAAAAAAAATTATGGAAACACTGTTTCGTTTGTTTTAATATAAAATATTTTTTATCAAAAATATCTTATTTATTTTTTATTGTTTGATTGAGCAAAACATAAGTAAAACATCTTTTAAGAAAAATATTTTTATTATTTTCTCAAAAATAATTTATCTTTAAAATTTTCGTAAATTAATTTTTATAAAGTTGACTTTCAATTACTATCTTTTTAATATATTTAGTTTTTTTAAATAAATAGACACATGGGTATCCCTTCATAGGAGAAACCTTATCGTGCCTCTATTGATGTCCATTGTTGAAGTTTCATTCTATAAACGTTGAGAGTTCCAAGACCTTCTTTCAAGGTCGACTTTGATATTTCGGGCCCAAAGTGTGCTCTGAGTATGAGACGTCTCAAAATAGTAGACGTTGAAGTTTCATTCTATAAACATAGAGAGTTTCAAGACCTTCGTTCAAGACCGACTCTGATATTTTGGACCCAAAGTGTGCTCTGAATATGAGACATCTCAAAATAGTGGACAATGCCCTCGTTTGGAAAGAAAAAGTTTGGGATTTTTTTGATTAAAATAGTCACACAAAAAAAACAAAATAGATTAAAAAATAAATAAGACAAAATGTCACATCTAAACTATAATTATTTTATTTTTTCTCTCATAAAAGTTAAAAAAACTAAAAAAACTCATCTCAAACGAGATTTTTTAGCCCCGGATTAAAATTGCCAAAAAGTCAACCCACATCTCAAACGAACCCATGAGTTTTTCAAATACTATCAATTTTTATTTTTTAATTTCTACTAAACTAGATAATTATAAAATTAATAAAAAAAATTAATTAAATTTGAAAAAGTTAAAAGAAAAAATTTTAAATGGTCACTTTGGTCTAATTTTTGTTTCTATTATTTTTTTTCCCTTCAAATTTGATCTATTATTTTAAAATTTTCAATACCTTATTATCTAGATTTTTTCTTATAAAATTACAAAAGTGATTAAAAATAACTATTGCCAAATGTTTTGATGGGGTGAAACTAAAAGCCAGTAGTGTTTTGAAAAGTTAGTAAAAAGTTTATTTTTTAGTTTTTTGGTTTTTTTCGTGGTTTTTTTGGCTGAAAAAGCTAAAAAGCAAAAAAAATAGCTCTTTTAGCTTGTTGCCAAACTGCCCCTCAGTTTATTATTGCATTCTGAATACTTATTTTTAAGTCTATCAACGCTAGACGATTCTAAAAATTAAGAAAAAAATTTGACAAAAAAAAAAAAAAACCATGAAAGATGAAAATAAGTCACATTTTTTAATATAAAAATTGACATATTTGGTCTTTTCGAAGTATTTTTTTAAATATTTAAGATCATCTAGTCAAAATGAATCCAAAAAGTAAGAAAATTTGTTGTAAATTTTTTAAAAATTACTAAAGATGAAAATAAGCCGAACTAAAAAAGCAAAAAATTAAAAATTAAAAAAAAATTCCACAAAAGGCCCTAACATGTGATATGCTCATTTTCAAATATATATATATTTTTTAATTTACAAAAACTAATTTGCTGGAAAAAAAAAACTCATTATTTTCCTATTTTGTTAGGAGAAAATAAATTTTAAAAATTCAAAATTATTTATTTTGAAATTCATTTTATTTAAATAATTTTTAATTCAATAAGAAAAAAAATTTTAAGAAATCTGAAAATTTAATCAATGAGACTAAATATTTGGACTCATGTTTTTTTAATTTTTTTTAACACATGTTATATACTAATATGGGGCTAATTATTAGTTGTTACATAAGAAAGGAGCAAACCAAACAGGGTTAGCCTGATTGGTCAAAACTCCTACATTTCATTAGATGCTATGTGTGGGTCTTATTTTCATGTGTTAATTGAGACTTTCTCTTTTTCTTTGAGAGTTTCTTTGTAAAAACTTATACTGTATTTGATCTTCACTACTACGATTGTAATTTATTGAATTTTATTGTATATTATATGAATCAAATCTATAAAAATAAAACAAAAATAGGAAAGAAGCTAAAAAAAATAGTAACAAATTATTTTTTTTATAAGATTTGTACTCTTTCACACTAGTAATAGTATGAAACCTCCCCCCCCAAAAAAAAAAAAAAGAAGTAAGAAAAACATGATCAGATTTATTTAGGCATTGTTTGGGAAGTTAGACTTTTAGTCAAAAGTTAATTTATTCTTTTTATTTCTTTGGATATCTTTTCATAAAAAATTAAAAATTATTAAAAAATCAATTTACAAACCAGCCCTTATAATATAGGTTACACTATATAAGTGTTAATTTGAAACACACAAATTATTTTATTTTATTTTTTAAATTTTATCTTCATCTAAAATTTTGAGCCTTAATACTATTGCAATAGAATTACATAACTGCCAAGTCAAAGATGAAGTAAAATAAAGAGAATTTTTTTTAAGGTCCTTAATATTAAGATTTTATAAGATAAATGATATATAATATTTTCATAGTAGGTAAGGTCTCTTATAGAGAAAATTTGACTCAGAAGAATTTTGCTTAACTCGGACGAAATTTCGGCCTCGACTCAAAGAAATTTCGAAATTCACAGCCAAAATTTATCTGAGTCGAGTAAAATTTCTCTGAGTTGAATTTTTTTTGTGAAAATATTGAGAGATCTTAGCTAATAAAAAAAATATCTTGAACCATTCATACTATACAAAATTAAAGAGGAATGTTTCATTAATTTTCCATAAAATGATTGGATAAGGTATTAAATTTTGAAAACAGACTTGCACCCATTTTATAATATTAAATTATGTTGCAATACTATTGCAATAGAATTACATAAAATGAAGTAGAATAACGCGAATTTTTTTTGAAGGTCCTTAATATTAAAATTTTATAATATGAATGATATATAATATCTTTACAGTAGGTAAGGTCTCTCAATAGTTCTACAAAGAAAATTTGACTCAAAAAAATTTTGTTTGGCTCAGAGAAATTTCAGCCTGACTTAAAGAAATTTCGAAATTCACAGTTAAAATTTCTCTGAATCGGGTAAAATTTCTCTAGGTTAATTTTTTTTGTAAAAATATTAAAAAGCCTTAGCTAATAAAAAATATTTTGAATTTCTTATACTACACAGAGAAATTTCAGCCTGACTTAAAGAAATTTCGAAATTCACAGCTAAAATTTCTCTGAATCGGGTAAAATTTCTCTGAGTCAATTTTTTTTTATAAAAATATTAAAGAGTCTTAGCTAATAAAAAATATCTTGAATCTCTTATACTGCACAAAATTAGAGAGTAATATTTCATTAATTTTTTCAAAAATGATTGGATAAGCTATTAAATTTTGAAAACAGACTGAAATATTTATTGTGTGGGGGAGATGGTAGGTTAGGAATTGGTTCGGATTAGTGGTTTCACACGGCTCTTCTCACTTTTATGTCATGTCTCATTGAATTCAGCTCTTGCTCCCTCTTTAGACTTTTATTAGAAGGCTCTATCTTTAGAGAATTTTTTTTTTCTCCTAAAATAATGACAGTTGGTGATTTCGGATTGGCTTATTTAGTAATTTTTTAATTTCTTAATTAAAAAATATATAAAAAATAAAAAGTGATATATAATTTATAATAAATCAATAAATAAGTGTACTTATTTAGTGCATTGTCAAATTAGTCTGTAATATTTTAACTTAATATTAATTAATTAAAATAGTAAAATTTAATTTATTATTATTATTATTCTTTTGTTAGATTGGTAAGAAATAAATTAACAAATATTAAGTGATAAATGGTGAACAACAATGCTTTAAGATGACATGTCCCTCTGTTGACGATTCAAAGTGTAGGCCACACCATTAAAGTCTCATTTTGAATGTGATAGTGTCACAGCCTCCACTGTCTTGGCCACACCATTTTTTAATATTTTATTGTTTTCTTCAATTTGCTTTATGTTCTCTTTTTTGAGACCAAGTTTGACATCCTTCAAAAAATTCAAAAAGTCAAAAAGTCACTATTCTATTTAAGTCACATCATCTCTCTAACACATCACTTCAAACCCAATCCAAATTTAACCCATATTTCATAAAAAGTCAAAAAGTACACTTATTTAGTCTTCCCAAACTTAGTCTGAGATTGGCCTATCATCTCCCTTCCCCTGTACCTTTGTCGACATTGATAATTCATTTACGCAGGGCTTGATTTATTAGAATGGGTTGTTTGGAATGATTTAAATAAATATATTTTTTAATTTTTTATAAAGGGTCTGGCTTTGGTCCAGTCCATCATCGGACTGGACCGTGCTATTGGGCCCGTGGGGCCCACCATGGGTCCCGTTTTGAAAATCTGAATCGTTCAATGTGTAGAACTCGTCGAGTATTATATTTCTGTGAAAAATTACGTTGATCGGATATCGATAACTATGTGTTCAAAACAGTTTTTTATCAACCGTTAATTTATTCACCGTCCATTTTTTTTATTATATAAAACTGATTTGATCACATAGTTATTGATATCCGATCAATGTAATTTTTCACAACCATATAGTACTCGACGAGTTATACACATTGAACGGTTCAGATTTTCAAAATGGGACCCGTGGTGAGCCCCCACGGGCCCAACAGCACGGTCCAGTCCTATGGCTGACTGAACCAAAGCCAAGCCCTTTTATGAAATATAGGTTGGGTATAGAATGAGTTTGAAGTAATGTGATAGAGAGGTAATGTGACTTAAATACGATAATGACTTTTTAATTTTTTTAAATTATGACAAATAAGGCTTAAATTAACATAGAAGGTTCATTTCATTAAAATACTTATTTATTCACTTTTATAATATTAGTACAAACTCAATTCGTATATTCACTTTATTCTTTTATAAAGGATAGACTTAGAAGTAGGAGTGCTTGCAGATTGATTTTTGACGATTCAGTTTG